GGTAAATAACATTTTCATTTTTGAAAAACAAAAAATAAATGACAAAACACAATTATTTATACCAAAAGATAAAATGAAGAAAAATAAAACGATAATTAATATTAGACACAAAATTATTTTTAAATTACTTCAGAATACAACAATATACATATTTTTGTGTTGATACAATTGTACACTAAACCTTTCAATTGTAAATTACACATGTAAATGAAACTTATTTAAAGTTGCTCTGATAATGTTTTTTATTTGGGTAATAATTATTATTTTTACTGATTATTATCGTATAATGAATTATAGTTTTTATCAAGAAAACGAACTAAAATTAAGTTTTACTGTTTTGAACGTAATATGATTCACTCCATTCGAAAAATAATACATTGTTTGTTTTTTATTATGGCTAAAGATAATAAAATTACTTCTATTTGATTATTTAATTAATACTATTATTTTAAAAAGAAACGAATGTACTATTCAAAACCTTTGTTAAACTGACAAATATACATATATACATTTACAATTAATAATAATGTGTATGTTAAAAAGGTATATTAATTGTTAAAATAAAAATTTAATGTTAAAATCACTAAAAATATTTTTAATAATTTTTATTGGTTGTTAGTAAACTTGGGCCATAAAGTCCGACACGTTATAACAGTATTTTTTTCTTTTGTTTTTCGGGATATTAATATATTTTGTCGAAATTTATACCTGTTTTACTTATCATTATTTTCCCTTATTTCGATTTTTTGCGTTTTATTTTTTGATTTTTAATTTTCTACTTACACTACAATTTCCTTATTTCAAAATCATGAAATATTTTGGTTTATAAAACACGAAAAATTAATTTCATACCCAAATTTTATACAAAAACCGCAAATTTAATCAATACTATAACATTTAAAAAAATGAAAATAAAATTATTTTTTTCAATTCGTTGATTTTTACGATAACAACGAAAAACACGACTTAATTATAATTCTATTATTAAATTAAACTAAAAAGTGTATCGAATTTTTATATGGAAACACATGAAATTAATTAAAACACCACAAGTAACAAAAAATTTTTATTTTCGTTATGTTGAAAATATTAAAATATTAATTATAAAAATGTAAATATATAATAATTGATTAATTTTGTTTTTATAAATAAAATATAGGTGATTCGAAATATTAATTTAAATAAAAATAATTTTTTATATTATAATAAAAATTAACAATTATCACTTGTTTTTATTTGACTTTTATAATATTTAATCATTTCATTATTAATTTATTATAGAATTTGTTTAATAATGACATGAAAAGACAAAGCAAATTACATTATTGTTACTTGACAGAAATATATAACAATAATGACAGTTGTAAATGAAACACTTTTATCAATTATTGTGATTATAATAAAATGTATTATAATTATTGTTTTGTTAAACAACAATTATAATACATTTTATTATATTTTTGTTAATGCTAAAAAACTATTTTTACTTATCAAAACAAAGTAGTTACTTTATTTATAATTTGTGAAAACAATGAATGTTTTAATGAAGGTTTTTGTGGGATGAACAAAAAAATAATTGAAGAAAAAACACATCAAAAATAATATAAAAATTAAAAATGCTCATAACATTAAGCTCATTTCCCGTTTTTCTTGACATAATTCATTAATTATTTCAATAAAAATTTTAAAAAATAGCAGAAAAACAAATCCGAAAGTCCAATACGTCGGACTTTGTGTCCGGAGTTTATCTTCTGTGTTATTACAATTATAATTAGTGAATATTGTTATTTGATTTTAAAAACCCTGCATCACATAATATCATATGTTTTTACTGTTCAATTTTTTGTTCTTTAAAACTGGATTATAACACATTGTAATGATGATTTAAACAATACAAAAATTTTGTTTAAATCGTTAACTATAGTTTTATTAATTTTTGAAAACATTTTAACTCTCAAAAACTTTTTAAGTTTTTTGTTGACAACATGCTAAAACTTAAAATGAACTGACACGTATTAGAGATTGCCACGAAGTTGTTTAAAACTGGATCTTGGCCGACCCTGTTTTAATTGAACACCACCTAAAATAATTAGTCCAGCATAATTATTAAATAGACCATGCAAAAAATATTAATACAATCACAAATAATTTCAATATTATAATTTTTATATTTCATTCACAAAAATAAATAGACGCTCCACAAACTTATATGTTCACGTCATTTAGAATTATTAAGGTTTTTTCTGAATTATTTCACTTTCAACAAAAAAAAGAAAAAATTTCTTTATAAAATGTTATAAAAAACTATGACAATAGAATTAATTTAAAGATTATCTTGAGCATATACCTTCCTCCAAACTTCATTTTTACATCTTTGCATTGCAGCATTAACTTTGTGTAATTATTTTGATGTGCTGCTTAACATGGTGAATGAAATGAGTAATGCGGTTTTTGCGGTTTTAATGGTTCAAAGGATATATACTTCCCACTTTCATCAACTTTGTCAGCAAAGCGGCGCAGTGAATATGTATTCCAAAAATCTGTTAAAAATCTTCTGGTTTCTAATCAGGTTTCTTTCTAAACTCTTCAACAAACCGTTGCTTGAGCTTCAAGCAAATTTTGGTGTATTGGTGCTTTTAGTGTTCTGAATGTTCTGGTTCAAATTTCTTCGGTCTTCATCTTGGATTTGGTTGTATTGGAGACGGAATGAATAGTTGGGTTGGAAATGATTGAAACAGATGACCCAGTAGAGGTGTAGGCGTTGAGTGTATATAATCGGCCCGTGCATCTGAATCTGTGAAATCAACATGATCTACTGATGCTTGGTTCATTATACTATGAAATAGCCTTTATGTTAGTTTTTCTTTTTTTTGTTGAAAGTGAAATAATTCAGAAAAAACCTTAATAATTCTAAATGACGTGAACATATAAGTTTGTGGAGCGTCTATTTATTTTTGTGAATGAAATATAAAAATTATAATATTGAAATTATTTGTGATTGTATTAATATTTTTTGCATGGTCGTGTACTTTATTGTGGGCCGGTAGGCCAACATCAAAACCTTTCTCAAACCTTGAAAGGTTTTTTATTCGTGTCAACCTTGGTTGTTTATATTTGTTCTCAGATCGTTCTTTTATAGCACAAATTACAATTATAATTATATTTTTTATAATTCATTATTATAATTAAGCAACAATAATTATGGCAATCACAATTCTTGTTTTGTTTAAACTATATATTATAAATTAAAACAATTAACCTAATTGGTTTTTATTTTATTTAAAAAAGTAATTTGTTGTTGTATTTTTATATTTACAATTGAATTGTTTTTCAAATGGCATATTTAAAAAGGTTAAAAACTTATTTAAATTTTTAATAATTTAAATTATATATATAGTTTTTTTTAATTTTCAATGGTATATCTTAGTTGTTTCAATTATTCTCAGATATGTTTTTATTAGATATAATTTAAATATAAAAAAACATTTTTGAAATTTAGTCTGGCAATAAGTGGTTTTTAAGCGAGTTTGGTGTTATTATTTTTATTTAAATGTTTTGAAATTCATAATATTTTACAATTTTTGTACATACAAAATCAGGATTTTTATGCTTATTATTCTACCAATAAATTAAGGTTTATTTTTACATTAGTTAAATAATTAATTTAGTTACATATATTTTATAGTAGTTTCATATAAAACAGAAAAACCATATTTTAATAAATAATAAATTGTTTGAAAGAATTATCTAAAATAAAACTTTAGGTTTATTTTTGTATTTTTACTTTGTTCAAAGGCAAAACAAAAAAAATATGTTT